CCCCCTCCCCCCCCGCAGCAAGGCGGCGCCCAAGTCCAGCAGAGGTGATGCTGCGTTATCGAGCCCTCGCCTCTCTTTGAAGAGGTTTACTATTAGCAAGTTGGCCGAGTGAAGGCAGAGAGCTGGCCTTCGCGTTAAATGAAGCACCAGATCCTGCCCTTTGTAAAGGGAAACTTCACAATTAGACCAAAATACCTTACTTAGCAGCTAAGAAATACCACCCACGTACCTCCAGCAAGTGTTTCATAGAAAGAAATCGTTTTGCTATAGAGAATTTCATTTACTTTTCCAATTAACTTTAGGAAAAGGGCAATTGGTATATCCCATCTAAAAAAAAAAAATCTTCCTCTGAGAAGGCAATTGCTGTGCATAACAGTACTTATCCTCTGAACATAAAGATAAGTTTAATTTTTAAATACAAGTATTTGAGAGAGCAACATGAATGTTTATATAAAGCTTTTACTGTGATATTTTCACCCCCACAAAGGCAGAAAATTTATGTGCCTAACATCTTTTTAATAATAACACTCAAGGTAAGTAGATGCATAAGAAGGAGGGCCCAAGACAGGCTTTGACTATGCACACACTCGTCTTCACCTGCTCTCCAGGGCAGCTTGGCTTCTTTAACACAGTTTAACTGGGAGCCAAGAGGAAAAGCCCCTGTTGCTACAGGAATCAAAATGCAGTGAAAGCAGAAATCAGAAGATCGAGTAGAAGTCCAACAAATAAAGTTCATGTACCCTATGAATCTATGGCAGACAACTGTTACTTACAGGCCAAAAAATGTACATCTAAAAAAATTCAGCCATTTTCTGCCTTCTTAGAAGATAGATACCCAAACTTCTCTTGTAATAAGCTACCGACATGTAATTTCCTTTCACTAAGGTCAAAATTCTATTAAAAATATCAGTAGTAACTTGTACTACTTAGTACATATTTTTTCTGCATTTCTTCTGAATGACACAAACACTAAGGTAACAACTCCATGCACATCTACTGTCATTTCCTTCCTCCCCCCACTCAAAGTTCACTTTACATCTTAAAAAAAGGAAATAGAACTTCACCTTCCAGACTCAGAGCAAGAAAATAAAAAAAGCCATCGACATTGGAGTCTCACGTTAGTACTGTAAATTGGTCTGTAAACTGGCTTCATGTTGTTGTCATCATACTACAGTTAAAAAAAACTTTATCTGTAATTTGTCATCTATATTACAGAAAATGTTTGAAATTTTAGCTTTTGAATTCACATTGAATTGCAGTAGCTCTCTAGTTTACTTATTCCTGATTATTTATTACTGATTTCTTATTATAAATAAGTTCAATTTGTGAAACTGATTTCTTGAAATAGTGGAATCAATAAAACAAAAACTTGATTACAGTCAATAAATCACAGTCAGTAAGGTATAATGCATCACTGGATGACTAAATGCACCATTCATTATTTCAGCATTCCATATTGCACTGTCATTGCAGAGACTAAACTGCGATCGTCTCTCCCTCCTCCTCCTTCCTTCCCCCTAGAGTCAGTAATTGAATTGTAGCAGCAATCTTTATTAACGTAAATATCCAGATCCTTACCTGCTCCATTTTCACCAGCATTTCAGGCATTGCCTCAAACTACAAAATGAATTATCAGCCTAGGAAGTGATTGCAGTTCAACTGCCTGTTTGTCCCTTTGTCTGCTTTTGCCAGCAGAGAGCACAGAGACTAAAAGTGATAGCTCAGTTGACCTTTGAAATCAAAACACTATTCCAAGCCCTGATGAGGTGCTGTTCCGATCCTTTGTTAAGTTTTTGGTTTATTCCCTACGGAGCATGCAAGATGCTCAGTATGAACTTAATTTTGACTTTGTAACAGCTGGCATGAATAAGCACCACCATTGTGCATGTAAAATTTATTCAAAGAACTGACATTGAGTCTTAGGCAATTTTCCTTTTATAAGCAGCAGGAGGTGGGCCCTAATTAAGTCAGTCAGGTTGATGATTCTAGCAGCTCTTCATTTTGCATTTAAAATGAAACCCAGATCATGAGATAATATAGCAAGACGGATGATCAGAGAAATAATTTATTCTTACACAAGTCTTGCAATGAAATATATAGGCCACATGAAAATAACTGATTCCTGTAGTGACTACCTAAGTCAGTTGAATGAGCAAAATATTTTTTTTAAATGTTATTTCATATGTGCATGAAACTAGTAAGAACCCCTAGACTGAAGCTGACAGTGCTCAAACTTTCAACTTTCTTCCCATTCTTTAATTCTCTCTCCATTCCACTTTACATTACTTATCCACATTTTCAAAATAATTTGTTTTGCTTTCATGGAAATTGAGAAAACTCTAAGCAGAGGAAGAGTCAGGTTAGCCATCAGAGCACAGCGTTGTTCAGTAGAGTCTAAGGCTGCTTTGCTGTGAGCAGGCAGAGAGATTTTGTTTACAGATTGCATTGCAGTAAGAAAGGGGAAAAAAAGCTGGTCATGTTCAGGGAACCTTGGTGAGGCTGAAAGACTGGCTAATAACAGCTGTTTTCAAATAATTTTTTTTATTGGGCCAGATTCTTGTTCTCGGTGAGAGGTATTTGGAGTCCTAAAGACAAAGGTTATTGAATTTTTCAGAAACCCTCTGACAGAGCTAAGCAGGAATTCTAGTTATCTAGAATGAAGTCTTTCCTATATCATAGGTAAAGGAAAGTTTAACAGCCTAGGAGGAGGAAGAAAAAGATAAGACTAGAACACAGAACATCAGGTCACTTATATAACTTGATTTAATTTTGGTTTTTATCCCCGATTTGTAAAGGAAAGTAGACAAGTAAGTTTCATTAAAAAAAATGTTTATTCTGCTAAAATGTTCTTACTTTGAAATGCAGTTAAACAAATTATTTCAGCTTGCCAAAATCCAAGTCTACACAACGCACGCATGTACAGCGGGCATCCTCCCACCCAATAAAGAGAAGTCCGGTTATTCCCCTTCACATAGCAAAGAGAGCTGGCTACATGGAAGTTATGACAGTTAAGCCAGACAGTCCAGTGAGCACAGCATTCAAAATATGATAAACTTTCCTCAAGACACTGATCTCCACCACAGGAAACAAATACTTAGATTAAACAAAGCAATTAGTTTAAGTTTGACCTGAAAAACCTTTTCTGAAAATAGCTGTAATATCTAGCCTCAGGATTGAACTTAGCATGTCTCAAATACGGATCCCACCGGGAACTATCAAGACCAACCGTCTCTGGGAAGCGTTCCTTCCATTGGTATTAACGCAAACAAATAGCAAAATTAGAATTGTAAAGATAAGACAGATACAAAACAAGATCTTACATGAAAGCAGATTTGTCATTCTTTTCCCCCCCCCTCAATGCTTATTCACCCTTTTTGGGCTTAAGTTGTTCTGTTAATTTGAAAACAAATTAAGTGGCTTCAGCATATTAGAAAGTGAAACAGTCAAACATTTTTCTTTGTCTTAGAGTGCAACTATGTTCCCAAGAGTCTGGAACATACGGTCATCCATAGCCTCTGAGTAAGAGCACTATCAAGTATAGTTTTTCTAAAAATAGGTAATTTTATGTCATTTCTCTTACTCGCATTTGTATTATGTACAGCATTTAAAGTCACCTTTAACAAATGGTCCTTTGAAGTCTTCACCACAGCATGCAAGTTTACTGTTGATTTAAGATTTTTTTCTTAAAACCAAGAAGAGATTAACTTTTGTTTCTGTTACCTGCAATGGAAAAATGTTACTAAGTTTGTGTTTTCCACTCTTGCCCCTACCACATCTAGTAATCATTTGTCTGCTGGAGGAGGAATGAGGAAGAAGGGGCTTAATACTCCACGTGACAGGCAAGTCCAGGACTTTAGACCTCAGAATATGTTCCAAAATACACATCTGGTGAGACCTACATCCTTTCCCTGTCTTTTCTATACACTACTTGCCTTTTTGCCTCAACTCCTCCACAATGTTCTTCTCTTCTTTCCCTCCACTGAAGAATCAGCTGTAGGCCTTTTGTTTCATACCTTTACAACTGCAGCAGCACAAGGACCTCAAAGACAACTAAAGAACCAGGGCTCAAACCTCTCACTGAGCCATTTCCATGCCTAAGACCCTTGCAAGAGATATTGCGTATCACTCGATCAGCTAGAGCTTATTAACTGCATGGGGCAGGTGGCTTCTCAAAGAAAATACTGAGTGATACACAACAGCAAAACATGTTCACCTCTTGCAAGATCATGCAAACAAGTTCATTCTCTGCAACCTGCTCCCTTCCTTATCACACATGCTTTCTATTAACTGACCTGACATAAGCCCTGCCCAACTCAGGTCAGTAAAACAAATAGGGCTGGGAAGCGCAATAGCCAATAGTGCATCAGAGATACCTCATAGATGCAGCCTTCATCTGCCATGGAGCAGAAAAGAGAGGCCAGCTCCTTCTCCAAATGGAGTAGACACTATGCAAGATTGTCATCTTTGGTTATGTTTAAGAATGTACAAGGCCATGGTTACCAAAATAGCCAAGCTTACCTTCTTTAAAAGGTGTTTTTGGAGGAATGTTTTCCTTGCTATCATGCTGGAAAGCTTTAGAGGGATCAAACCGCCTAATGCCCTGAATCACGTATAACTGCTCCTGAAGATCTCTGCTTGTTTGCTTCTCTTTTGCTAGCAGTGCACGCAATTTTGAGACATCCTAAGATGGAAAACATAATACTTCAGAAGTCAGATTAAGAACAGGAGAAAAGCATGCTTCATTATTTGCTTTAGCATTACTCAGAGGAACTACCACATACATGCAATATTGTTCTTGTTAGTTTAAAAAAAAAATGGCAAAAACAAAGTTACACAGAAACTAGCACCACTGTATAACACTGCAAAGCAGTGCAGTAGCTCTAAACTTTTCGTGGCCGATACCTTATTTAGTGCTTTCAGGAGATAGGTTAAGTCTAAAACCTCCCAAAAGGCAAGAAAAACTAGCCAGGCTAAATGCAAGATAAATGATTTGCCCTGGTGATCTTGTACAGCATGTATCAAGTCCAAGCTAAGAGAGACTGCTTTTCTGTTTCTAGAGACTAGTGGTTCATTCTAATCTAGCACTCTCAAAGGGAATTCAAGAGCTATATAAATCATGTAATTTAATAAACAAATTAAGGACAGGTTCCCTGCACAAAAGCAGCATCAGTCTATAAATATTTACAGCAATAAACAGGACTTAGTCAATAAATTCTAACAATATTTCTAACATTTTAGTTGACAAACCTGCTTCAGGTGTGTATTCTCCTCCTTCAGCTTCATAACATGCTTGATTTTTTGCTTCTGGTTCTGGTGGCCAAGTAGTTTAGCATATGCATCACTTAGTTTATTCAGTTCTTCCTGGGCTGCACCATGCTCATTTAAGAGCGCATTCTTCTCTGCTTCAAATGCATCTAGTTGTTGCTGGAACATATTTTGAAGTCTTTTTTAAAAAAAAATCTTTAACTGATTTTTTTTTTAAAAATACTAAACTGAGACCTACAAAGATTAGTTTGGGAAGAATAGCTGCTCAAAGGAAAAGTAGCTTTGAAAACTGTTGCAGGGTAAATGCCTTAGAATGGCAGATAGCATGTTTACTTCCTGAGTTCAGCCAACTGCACAAGAGTATTAAGTCACACACTAATAAACGTCTACTTCATGACACACCTGAAAAGGCTTAGCTTTGTTATGCAGATCTTCATATAGAGTACGCCAGCTCTTTATCTCTTCTTTTAAGCTAGAGGTCACATCTTCATTTATGTTTTTCCTTAAAAAAAAAAAAACAAACCCACAAAGCTTATTTTCACGCTAAAACTTTGGTGTACCATGGTACCCAAGCTTAGTTTGAGGAAAAGTCACCTTGATCTTTCCACTTCAAGACTTTTTCTCAGGTCTGCAGTTTGCACTTCCATTTTTTCCTGAAGTTTAGTCATTTGTGCAAGGCAAGACTCTTTGGTTCTTTCTATTTCTGCTTCTTTTAGTGCCAGCTTTGTCTGGGCTTCTAAAAGCATCCTGAGGAAAACATCATTCATCTTTAATGAACCCTTAAATTATTTTTTCCTTATTCTACATCTGAAAACAAGTAACCGCATCTGAAATGCTGTTACTAAAAGAACTGGAATGAAGATTCACACTAACAGCATTGTAAGAAAAGCACAACATAGTACAGAAAGCAGTCAAGTTGAAGATGTACAGTCTTTAACTGCAAAGAGCTGCAAGGAAGCAGCACTTTTGAAGCAAGTAAGTTCATATGTTTATTAACTTCTTTTAATGCTAACAGCTTTTAATACAAGATACTTTAGTAGTTAGACTAGTCAAGATTGTATGTGGATGGGTTCAAGGGTCTAGGCAAACTCTACATCCAAGGGTTGCCATCCCTCTCCCTCAAGTTATTTGCTTCATCACCTTGGTGGAAACAAAGAATCCCTCCTGCACCATGCCAAAGAGTCAGCTAATGGAAGAAGAGATAAATTGAGTTGTTTTTTTTTTTTTCCAGATCAACTCTAATGGGAACTGGAGAGAACAATAAACAGGTGGGGAGAAACAAAGGAGTAACATTTTAAGAATAGGTGTTTTAAGAAAGCTCAGGTAAGCTCTAACTGTGGATAACTTTAAAATACCCACCACAGGTAAAAAAGAAATTTTGTTACAGAAGTATTTTATAAACCAGAGCTACATCTGGCAAAGTCAGAAATACTCAATTCAGATTGGCCAAAAAAGGTTTTTATTTTTTTTTGTCTACCAACACCTTCAACTCCCTGCATCGGGAAGGGGAAGAAATATAAACTTCCAAGTGCTGATTTTATTTGAAAGAACATCACGTTACATTCTAGGTAAGAAGGCAAGCCTCAGTTAGAATCCTTTCACTTCAAAGAAAGTTTGTTGGCCCAGTACCTTGCACATTCTTCTTTTGCTTTGTTTTTAGTATATTCTGCTTCCTGAAGTAGCTGTAGGTTATCTTTGCCTATTTTTTTCAGGTTGGCAACCTCTTCTTGCAGAGAGGTATTCTGCAGTTTAAGACTAGTTATTTCTTCACCTATTGTCTTCTTGTAGCTGGAATTAAAATACAAATTTAAAAAGCTTTGTTAATTAAAGACAGAACACAGACGGGCAGGTTCAGGCCTTAGAAAAGCAATGCAGGCTCATGCTACCAAGTACAACAGACTTTAACCTCGAGATATAGCAGCTTTCTAGTACTAAGAAGTCTACCAGAAGGAAAAAAGCCATTTCCATAAAGCCATAAGAAATAATATTGAAAAATACCATACTAGAGTTATTTTCATTTCCATAGACATTTTAAACACCAAAGTTCACCTATAGCTGAAGCCTGTATCAGAGAATATTCTGCTTGACCCTTTGGGGTGCTTTTGCACACTTAGCAATAACAATATCAATTTTTAATACTACTACAGCCTATATCTTTTGAGGAGAGGTCTGCAATAATTCCTTCCCCGATATGCATCTGCTGCCAGATCATGAAGATCATGTTGAATGACATCAGTTTAATTCCTTCTGAGTGACTGTACACAGTGTGCTCGGTTGTTTCCAGCACTGTGTCATGTAGAAGTTACCTAACACTGAGGCTATTCTCAAGAACTTTAGGAAAGTAATCTTTATCCACTTCAAGTTTTGAGTCTGAACAGGAAGTCACTTTGCAAAAAAATTTAATGCACGGAACATCACCACCAGTTACAACTCTCAGCAGGATTCAAGAGCACTGGAATATTGCACTTGGTTACACTGTGGAAGAGGAAACATCCACAGCTTCCTGAACCTATAGCTAGACTCTATCTAGATCATTATGCTGGCCTATTACTCAGGAGTAAGTCAATTTGTTAATGCCATCAAACAATCCATCACATAAAACACTGCTCTAACACTGTAGCAATGCTCATATTGAGGCTCAAGTCATAAGGTGCACACATACACAGTACTTTTATTGTAGTAGAGAGAATGGTACTTTTTATTATAATAGAGAGAATGCCTGTCCTAGATCTTAATGGAACTTATATACCTTTCAAATTCAGCAATAGTCTTTCCAAGTTTACACAGGGTGTTGCTGTGCTCTTCTTGAATTTGCAAAACAGCACTACTGTGCATTTCACTGATTCGTTCCAGCTCAGCATTCTTCCTGAAATAAGAAATCAGCATTCCATACTGGAAAAAAGTATGTTTGAACAAGTTTTAAGTGCTGTTATCAGCTACTGAAGGTTTGCTGTGGCAGCAATGCATCACTTATGACACAAGTCAATAACTCCTCTACCACAGCTTTAGGGATTAAAGCACAGTCTTCTTCACAGCAGATTTAAGTATTTCCCCCTCCCTTCATTTCCTCAAACGCCTGTAGAACAGATTCCTTTTAGTATCTACTAGAAATCTTTCAAAAAGTGACAAAGAAAGAAACAATTTTCTTGGAAGTCTTCCCTAGTGATTGTCTTCTCCAGGATGGAAATGTTCAATATGACACACATGTAGCTTACCGTTAGGACTAACAGGATGCAACTAGAGCACCAGCAGATCAAGCATGTCTCAGTATGCTAATTAAGCAGTTTCAAATTAAAACAATTTACAACTGATTCAAATCCCTCCAATGCATCCAATCTAATTGCTATACTTAGTCAATAACCAGCAAGAAATAAGTTTAGCTCTGTCAGGTCCCTTTAGAACCTAAATTAGGCTTAGAAACTTTTTCTATAATTTGATTTAACATTTTTCTGTACAAGTACTACAATTAGATAGTTTGTTTTACAAACCCTTTCAGCTTTTCTTCCATCTGAGCAAGCTCAAAAGCTCGAGATTTGATTTCTTGTTCCAATCGCCTCACCAACTTTTCAGCTTTCTTCTCCTTAGCATGTAACTTATCCAGCTCATTCATTGCGCCCTTCAGCTCTTCTTCTAGGAGAAGTCTCTCATTTGTTACCTCTTCTTGAAACTCTAGTAACTTCTGGTGCATAGATGCAGAAGATTCCTACGGGCCAGAGTAGCAGAGATTTTATAACTATCAGTACTTTTCCAGTCTGTGTTTACATATACTAAAGGCCAGTTAATAGTATTTAAGCTTTGAAACACAAGAATGAGGGCAAACCTACGTGAAGAACGATAACATCTGTCATGCCAGAGCTGCAATTCTTACAGAGACATCAGAACATGCAGTTTCTGCTGGCTAGTAGCCACTTCTACATCCTACAGATTAGGCTGTTATTAACACAACAATTTTACATGTAATCAAAATCAGAATGTTTAGTGCTAGTCATTGGGATTAAAGTATTTAACTAATTTAGAATTTGCATTTACCCTCTCTTGTTGCAGCTGAGAGAGAATCTCCTCTTGTTTCTGAAGCAGGTTTTGGTGCTCTTGTTCTTCTAAGAGAGTTTTTTTTTTCAGGTCTTCTATTTCAGCAATCATACTCAGGTGTTTTCCTCTGCTCTCAGAAGACTCTTTCTCTGCATGGAGAAGTTGTCAATTTAATAGATCTTCACTTTTCTGTCTTCAAAGAACTACAACATCTGTTCATCATTCTACTTTCATTCTAGCTCTAAAGTTAACTAGGCGAGGAGAAAAAAAAAGTCTTCTAGCCACCTGGAAACTCCTCAAAACTGACTGAAAGAATCATATTTGAGATGAATATTAATGATAGTAATCGTAGGGACAAACAGTTAGCCTTTATTAGAACAGCAGTATGGTTGGGGAAAAATAACTAAACATTTTCCCAAAACTTTCTTTCAAATAATGCAAGCACCCGGCAGTCAACTGATATACTAAGAACTGAGTACCAGTGTTAGGCGGCAGGGTTGTTTTTTGTTTTTGTTCTTTGGGGAGGTGGCAGGGACACAAGGGAAGGAGGAGGTCCTACTCACCTTCCCAATACTTCAATAAACTTAAGCATATGCCCTGAGTGGTGTACTGATGCAATACAGTGGTGATTGTCAATAAAGAGAGAGGAGCAAGTCATTTGCAGGCAGTTTTCAGATTAAAGCCCATCCTACCAGCTAAACAATTTTTAGTTCCATAATATCCACCTTAGCATCCCTGTATGGAATAATAGTTTTAGACTTAACAAGAGAAGTCAGATTCCAGGTAGTTTCCATACTGATGGAAATATGCTGGGCTATTTTCACCTGGAGCTTGGAGATGTGATATTCAACAAACTAGTCTACATTAACATTTTTAAAACATATCTACTTGAGATGTTATAACTAAGATGTTCAAGTGATTCTTACCTACGCCGACAGCATATAAGTACCAACAATTACCTTTTTCTTGTTCAAGCAGCTGACACCTTTCATTAAGTTCTTTTATCAGTTTAAATGATTCTTCTTCTTTTGTTTTAAGGGAATCCTTCAGGATCCTGATGTCTTGGTCTTTCTTTATCAGCATCTCCTCCATCCGGGTAACATCTAATTTGTATTTTTCTACCATTTCTGCAACACTACTGTAGGAGAAAATTCAGATGTTACCAATGTTACCACTACATTTTGCTCATAAGCTTACACTTCAATACAAAGGGAGAAATGCTTTGTTTAAAGGGTGTCCAAATTAATGTTAATCATGACCAAACTGAACAGGGGGACAACCCTCACTTACTTTCCCAAATACCAGTTACTGCACATTAAGACAGATTACTTACAAGTAACTTGTTTCAACATTGACATTTTGTTTCTCAGAGAAATTTATGTAATCCCAGAACTTAATATACAGATAAAAGTGTGATTAAATATTCAATTAGTCACTATAATCGATTTATAGATGACTATTACATCCAGTTTTGTGCAAAGGTGAGTTTTGACAGGAATGCATACGTGTTAACAAAACAAATTTTAGAAGCTTAAGCATTGCCTTGATGAGGACCTTACAATACATTGAGAGTTAGTAAGAAATCTCTTACTGAGTGAATTGGCAAGAGTAAGACAGTGGAAGGGAAAAAAACAAAACTAAAACCTTCAGTGAACTAGTTGAACTAGAATATTATCATATCTACATCATGCCCTGCTGGGAACACACTATTGTGAAGACCGGTTAGTGTTTCAATCAGCTGCAAAGCCCTGCATTAGTGGCTTTCAGAAAAGCCTCACTGATTCTGAAGTGCCACCAACACACATAACCCACCACAAATCTTAAGTGTAAATCAAAGTGCTGCAAAGTTCACTGAAAACCAAGACCAGTGTTTTTGTCCTACTGTACACAGGTGAGGGCTCAAAGACACTAGCACATGTTACAAGGAAAATCCAGCTCGATTTATGCACAAATAAGCCAGGCTAGAAACTAGATTTCAGGACTCTGTGAAACTCTTCCACTGTATTACTTAGCTCACAAAACTGCAGAGACCTCTGGAAAAATAATTAGTGTCTTATGACTCCTTTCCATTGTCTGGAGAAAAAAACCCAGCTTTTTCCCCCCTCCAGTATAATGCAGCTACATAGTTGTTGCCAAGATTCTATAACCGCAGCCATAACCAAGGCTTAGCCTTACTGCCTTTTAACTTGCCCAGTCCTCTCCAAGCTAGATATGTTTGTTACCTGAGCTCTGTGATATATTCCAGGAGCTTTTCAGTGTCAGAATTTTCTTCAACTTTCTCTCTCTCAGTAGCAGATCTAAAAGCAGAAAGTTTTCATGATGCTTTTAAACACATAAGAGCTGTAATGTATTTGATCACAGATAAACAAATAATACATCCTTGCATCACAAGTTAAAGACAGTTAAAGACATGCTTTCCATAATCCAGTTCATGTGACAAACTGAGTGACTCTAAGAGGTCACTCTGCCCTCTGCTGCTGCTTGCTTTTGTTGCATATCTTCTCATTTGCACCAAAGACACTGAGCCATGTTTTACCACCAAATGTGCTAAAGAGGCTGCGTTAGCCAAACAACTATTATTGCTTCCCTTTGCTAATTGCACTGCCTGTAATATTAGCTTTGGGAATTTTCAGTTTAATGTGGGTATAAAACGTGAGCGCTTGGATGTTAAGTAAGAGCAGGAGACACTTTATTAGAAGAAGGATTCTGCTGTGCTAGTCATCCAAAACTGAAGTCAAATCTACTTCAGAAGTAGATCCATTATAGGTCACTATCCTCAGAAACAGCCCCCTGTCAGGGCACTGTTCCTCTGCATCAAATGCCACTATCCAGGCAGAACAGGAAGTGCTGATTTGGAACTCCTTCCCTCCCTGCAGACAGCTGCTTCAGCCAAGGCACTTTGCAGTAGCTTTCTAAAAGGGAAAGCAGCTACTACGAAGAAACCCTGAAGGCATTACAACCACCCATCAATACCCTTAGCTAAAGGGCAACAAACTGTTTACGTGATCTTTGTCAAATGCCTAGGTACAGAATTAGTATCATAACTGCTGGTCTAATGCTTACTCTTACTTTTTCCAAGCTTATCTAGTCTAATAGGGCCAGAAACTCAAATGTTTAATCTACATGAGTGCCTTGCTCCAAGATGGAGAATGAGTCTTCTCAAGAAGTGTCTCCCCTCCTCACCCCACACCAAAAAAATACCCCAGTCATACCACACTGGAAGACCACCGAAGGTTCAGACATAGCTGTTCTTCCGGAAAAAGGTTAAATATGTTAGAGAAATAGGGCCTTGCATGTTATGGTTATAAGAACGCAGCAGTTCCTAAAACACCTTTCTATCAAATTTACTCCAGGTCACGTCCACTAATAGCTTCTGTTCCCTCAATACGGAAATGACCTTTATTTTCCCTGAGCTACGTATGTACTATAAGGTATGAACGTCTAAGCACAGCTGGCAGATATAACACCACCTAAGTCAACTCCCTTCCTTATTACTTACAGTTTTTCTTCTAACTGTGCTACTTTTCCTTTTGAATGCTCTAGATTTCTTTGTACTTCCTGCAACTTCATTTCCATATCTTCCTGCTTTGCAAGTGCAGTCTAAAAGAAAATAAGAAAATCAACAAGAAAAATCATAATAGCCAAGTATTACCACCAAGGTGAGACTTGGTAAAAAACAAAACAAAATACCCCCCAAAATTGACTAAGAGACTGGTAAACTAGAACTAGTTCATAAATACAGTTTAATTAGTGTTTCCTACTGTGATACATTTGACTCCTATATTCAAGTATCCATGAAGAACATATCATCTATTTGTTAGAGTAATCAAAAAATACAAACACTCATGGCTTCAAACCATATATAGGACTGCTTGTTTTCAAATAAATTAGTAGTCTCATCTGACCAACAGATTGATATCAAAAGAGCCTTTTCTAGTCTTCTGTATTTGAGCTCAGAGTTGCCCTATAAATCAACAGCAGAATCAAGAACGTTAGATTTTCTGTCTGTTTCCACTGAACAAAGTAGAAGAAAAATATTCTGAAAAATGAGTTTGAGGGAAAACAAAAAGTTATCCTCAAAACGGTTGTAATTCATCACCGCCAGTTTCCAGAGAGCTCACAGTCACCACCCTTTGTAGTGGCAAGGGTCTTACCTTTTCCTTTGCATCCCTCTTGTTTCTCAGCCTCATTAACTCCATGCATAGGCTGCTCATTTTCTTCTGCATGCCATCTTCAGACAGCTTAAGAGATAAATAAAAAAACCCATCAAACATAACCCATTCATTTGGATTACTCTTCACAGAGCCATTTAACACACCATCTCTCTCCCATCCACAATACTAATCTGCACCTTTCCTCGAAATACACATTTGCAGGCCTAGCTGTCTTTAGCCAGAAATGCACAGAATCTCAAACCAGAGATGCTCTGTCCCTGTGACAACACAAGAGCAAATGTGAAAACAGATGCTGACTAACACTGCCAACAGCTGAAGATTCTTGCAGAAGAAACTAAATAATAGCCAAGTCAAAACAAACAGGTGCTCATTTGTCTGGCAGTACCTTTGATTTCAGTAGTTCATTGGCTCTTGTTAGTTCAAGAAGCTGTTTCTTCAGGCATGCAACATTTGCCAAAAGAGATGTTTTCTCTTGCACTGCAGCAGTCAGCTTTGCTTCAGTCTTTGCAAAATCCTCATCCAAAGCCTGAAGTTTTTTATCCTGTTCTCCACGCTCTCTCATTAACACACGAATCTAAAACAAAATTGGTATTGTCTTTATTTCTTCCTGTTATTCCTTTTAAGTAACAAAGATATGCCTGTTCTGTATTCCTGTAAAGGCTGAGTATTCAAACAGTATTAACTTCTGTCATTCAGAACGAATATCTAATTCTGTTATTCGTGGGAAAGGACACAATCACCACAATTCTTTATTATTAAACACCATAGACTTGCAGTCTTAGCATGTCAGCTGGCTTTGTGCTACTGAGCCAGTGCAACGTATTCAAAAACTTCAACCTGCAACAGAACCCAAATCTCCTCTTTGGCTATAGAATTAAAAGACTGTCATATATACAAAACTCTGCGTCATATGTTTCAGACGTCAAGACACGGTACCAGCACCAAGAAGGGAAAGCTAACTGCCTTAAGCATCAAAATTATGTTAATTAAGAAAAGTCTTGACAGACAGCTGTTAAATAAAACAGGATTGCATAGGTTGCATAAAATACTTTTGAAACATAGGACTCTGTTCCTTCTTCTGTTCTTTAAAAGACGTGCAGGGCTGCTCAGGGCCAGCAAGAATTCTATTAACAAACCCCATTTTCTACTTACTGTAACATTTGAGAATCTCTGCTCTTGCAAACAGTTCTGCGCAACAACTTATGTTTTGTGAAAGAGGCAAATTCTGTCTGCTTGTAGCTTTGATTAGGGAAGTGACAAATGTAGAATTGTACTCAATGTATTCATACCTCCTTCTCCAGCGTCTTCTGTTTCTTTTTCTCTTTCATAAGAATATGATCTCTTTTCGGCTTCAGACTCCCACTAGCTGGCTTTTGAGAACAGATCCATTAGAAACATTTAAATTGATCTTTACAGTTCACAGTAAGAGGTTACAATATGGAATTTTACCAGGCAAACTAGAGGCTCTGAGTTACTAGACCTCACAAATAAAAATACTGCCAGCTACATGCTAATTTAACACAGTGAAGTGTGACAGTAGATGCCTTCACACACACAGCAATATTTAAGACACAGCCCCTGCCCAAAGCATACACAAAATCAGAAGCTAAGCCACACACAGAACAGATAGATTAGATTAGGAACAGTTTTACCATTGCACTTTCTCATGAACGTTACTCTGAACGGATAGCTCATGAACATGGTGACAGAAAGGAGACTGAGGAAGTTTTAAGACATAAACACCGTTTAATCTCTGCAAAAGCCCTTCAATCACTTAACTACAAGTTTGTTCGTAGAACTTCCTCCTACCTCAAGCTCTCATAAACTCAATCAGTAAATTAGAGTTATTATTCAATTTGTTAACATATGCATTCTGAAACCCATATCCTCATACATCTCAGAACCTGCGTATACAGTATCATCTTTTCTTATATTCTTCCACCATTAGGTTCCTGCCCTGTAACATCCACCACAGGAAAATAGAAGCAGAAATAAGATCTTAATGAGAAGCAGCTGTATCGCAATTGGATGTAAACAAAAGAAACAACCCCCCCCACCATCAACCAAGCTACTCTGTAGCCCCAAGTAATCACCATGTGATCCCAAAGAGCTAAGATTTCTGGTTTTTTCTTCCTTTTTTTTTTTTTTTCCCTTTTTTAAAAGGAAACCAGGCATAATAATGCATTTCACAGTTCTTCTAGATAGGTTAACGGTAACTATACAAAGCAGCTATGTGCTCTTAACTAGTGACATTGAGAATCAGACCCAATATTAAGCTTGGCTAGAGTTAATAGTATTAGAGACATCACAGAAGAAAGTCTTACTATTGATCCAAGAGATACAAGTCTCCTTCCAGTTACAGGGGTAGATGCATTCTTTTCACTGTTCAGATTTGTCTCACCTAAATAAGGATGCAGACAAGAATGGTGAAGGGAGCATGCATGCATGCATGCGATGAAGAAAGTTTCACTAAATTAGGAAAAGGTTAAGCAACTTTGTATACAAAAGACAGGATGCTATTTGATTATTAGACTACCTACCTCACAACCCAAGGCTAGCTATTTTCTTACTGCAAGCAAGCAGTTCAGTATTAAATCAGTCCAGCACTCATAGTTCAGAAATAGATCACCAGGTGACAACCAATCTTGAGAATTCATTTTCTGCTGAGTTTCTCCCCCCACCCCCACTCCACATTCCCACTGTCAGTTTTCAGCTAAGGAACAGTGTTTGTTTTGTTTTTCCCCTCAGCTATACAACTCAAAATGCCACCCATTAAAAGCAAGGCTAGAAAAGTAGTTAAACCATTTAGTTGAATTCAAAATGGAGCACTTCCTAGTCACTAGAAATTGCACAGAAGGATTATTTTTGAAAGAGATTCAATTAAGTTGTAAAATTCATGTCTTTACAACTGCCAGCCATGACAGCTGGAAGACAGTCAGTAAACCCCACCCAGAGAAAACAAAAACCAAAAACAGAGCAGAAGCAGCATGTAAGCACTTTCATTCTTAGCTTTTAAAGGTATTGTATTGTTGTACTTTGTATATATTTTAGGGCTACTTACTCTTCTGTCTCCTAACCCGTTGATGTGTTTCAGAAGACAGAGAACTTCTTACTGTATCCAATGATTTGACATCATAGGATCCTGGCAGGAGAGTACATGCAAGAAACGAAATATTCAGAACAGCAAAGAACTAATAAGGAAAATGATAACGGTGAGTTAAAGCTGGTAACACACCTAAGTTAGACCTAATTTTAAAAACAACACCATCACAACCCCCACAACAACCCATCTCAGTTTTCCTCCGTAAATATGAGGAGGACACATGGTTGGGGGAAGGGGTGGAGAGAGATTACTGCAGCGCTAGTGAGATCATTGTCGACTACTCAATTTAACTTTCTTTTGGGTACCCCAACAAACGTTAGGAGTTCTGCTTCACATACAGAGTGTTTCAAGACAGCTCATCAGCAGTAGCGGAGCATTAAATTCAATTTGAAAGAAAGCAGTTAAAAGATATTATAGCTAATTAGAGAGAGAGCCACTCTAAAGCAAAGTAAAGGGGACAGAACAAACCCTCATCTATTCTTTTTTAAAGTCCTCTTCCAGTTTGGAAGAACAGAATATTTAGGTGTTAATGGATTCCAGACTTCTCATCCTAATAACTAAACTACTTACTCCTTTATTAAAAGAATCTAAAGAGTTGAGAAAAACTCGAAGGAAAACAGAAAAAAAAAAAAAGCAGAAACAACATAGCTACAAATTCTTTGTATAATCATAACCAGGTGGTCTCAAGCCCAGTAAACGCCCACTCACTTTGTTCAGTTTCATAAGTAACTGCAGAGAGAGGAGAGCAACTTCATGTAACTTATCCTCTGAGAACAGGCAACAGCATGAAGCAGGTATGCGGCCACAGCCAAAAGCTCGTGAGGAAAAGCATTTATGCTGGAAATTGCTGTCAGCAACCGTACTTCAGTCAGGAGAAAGAAAGCCTGTACGGTTTTTTGTAGCTTTGTGTCATAGCATGAGAGAGCCATGACATCTTGGATCCGTCCGCTCTAGCTTTCAGTAGCTAGCCTGTTAGCCTACAGCCAGGATTCAGCCTGAGGCCGGCCCCTTTCCTCACAGCGGACTGCCACACCAGCTTAAGCGAGAGCTCCCCGAGCGCGGCGAGGCCCCGAGAAGCAGAGGCAGAAGGGCCGGGCCGTGCTCAGAGGCATCCCAGAGCCGCGGGCC